ATGTTTTGTTGTTGTTGTCTGTATGTTTTGGGGGGTTGGTTCCATGCAGGATGCGCGTGGGCCGCCGCGCGCACGGCGGCCTTCAATTGCAAAGTCGCCATGCTGGCTTGCGAACTCAAGTGAACCCGCAGCGGTTGCCGATGTGTGTTCCAATGTAACATGCGGTCTTTATGTTTTCGTCTATTGGTGCGGCCGACACTGCGCCGACGCGCCCGCGCGCGCGTGCTGCGTGAACCCGCAGCCGTTGCCGATCGGCTTTCCCAGTCGACATGCGGTCTTTCCGTCCTGTTTTCGCCCGTTGGTGCAGCATGCAGTGCGCCGACGCGCGCGTGTGCGTGGCGGTTCTGTTTTGTCCGCAATAGGAAAATCGCCTTGCTGGCATTGAAACTAATGTGAGCCCTTAGCGCTTGCCGTTTGGATTTCCAGCCTCACATGCGGTCTTTACACTTTCGCTTATTCGTCCAGCCTATCATGCACCGACACGCGCGCGTGGCGGTTTCTGAATGGTCAGCACTAGGAAAGTCGCCACGATGCCCTGGGACCGAAAGTGAACCCTTAGCGCGTGCTGATTGGAGCTCCAAGCTTAACATGCGGTCTTTACGTTTTCGTATATCAGTGCAGCCTGCATTGCGCCGACTCGCGCGGGCGCGCGTGGCGGTTATTGCTTTGCGCGGAATCGGAAAGTCGCCATGCTGGTCTGTGAGCTAGAAGTAAACCCTTAGCGGTCGCCGATGGGATTTCCAACGTACCATGTAGTCTTTACGTTTTCGTTTATTGGTGCAGCCTACAATGCGCCGGCGCGCGCGTTCGCGTGGCCCTTTTTGTTTTGTCCGCAATGGGAATGTCGCCGTGCTGGCCTGCGAACTGAAGCGAACCTTTTCTATCGGTTTCCGATTGGGTTTCCGAGTTGGAATGCGGTCTTTGCGTTTTTGTTTATCGGTGCAGCCTACAATGTGCCGACGCGCGCCTGTGGCGGTTCTGTGTTGTTCGCGATGGGAAAGTCGCCATGCGCGGGCCGCTGCCCAGAATGCACTCGCCAGAGTGCACTCTGGTAAGTGCACTCTGGTGAGGCGATAGGGCTGAGAGTGCACTCATGGCGAGTGCGCCCACCGAGTGTCGGTGCTGAAAATCGACGCCGAGTATGACTGCTGAGCGTCGGCGCCGAGTGTCGGTGCCGAGCGTCGGTGCCAAGCGTCGGCGACGATCGTCGTTGACGCGCCGAGTGTCGGCGCAGATCGTCGCCGATGCGGGAGGTCTCTAAAGACCTGCCCGACGCGGGAATCTGCCCCTTGACGCGGAGTGCCAGGGCGGTCGCGGGGGCTGCAGCGCCGCGTGTATGTATGTATGTATGTATATGTGTGTGTGTAAATATATATATATATATATATAATATATATATATATATATATATATTCCCCCCCCCCCCCCGCAGATTCTTCAAAACATTGTTTCAGACATTGCTATCGTGCTTATGCGTCTATGCCACTTCGGGCCCAAGTATGGCCGCGGGGATTCGCTGCCCATCGATCGGTTCCTACTTACAAGTTGTGATTACGTATGGCCGAATGGCTACAATTCCGTGGGGGTGTAAGTGTGCCGACGCGACCAGGCGCACATTGGATTGGTGCGGTCAACCAACGACGTGCGGAATGGCGAAAGCAAGTCTCGGCGACGCCTACTTCGCCTGCTTGAAAAGATGTCCACCATATCCCCCAAAAGGAGACAGCGGAAACGCGATTCGACGTGAGTTTCTGCGACCGAAATGTGGCGCGATGAGTGCAGCTCCACGATGGAGGCCCAAAGCGGTGGCTGTGTTAACCGTCGAGTAACTTGCGACCTTGACGCGCGTCAGATCGTCCAAGACACGCGCGTCGAGGACAGGCCTGCTGGTTATGCTTGGTACTCAGCGCTTCCACTCGGGAAAAAGAAGACGCGCGCCATTCGTGATTGTCACGGTCCGCAGCCAGCGCCGCCAGCGCGGAAATCGGAGCGGGCGCGCCCAAAGACGCCAAAGACAAGCATCATCCGGGATGATTTTTTGCCCCCCCAATCCATGGCTTGAAACTGTTTCCTGCATTTCCGCATCTTGAACTGGCATGCCCGACTGGCGCCCGTCCAACGCGAATGGCACAGGGCTGGCAATGAAGCAGGTGTGAAGCCGAAGAACGCCCCCAAGGTACACGAAGAAGGAAACGGCGACTGCGGCGAAAGCCTCGAGGGCTTCGACTGCAGCTCATGCCATGGCGCTCACCGACGTGCCCCTCGACGCAGAGTGACGCTGAAGAATCCATCTTCCGAGCGATATCTGCGGGGGCGCTGATGGCAGAGACGCGCGCCGACAGTTCCGAAATTATGCCGGCACTATGCTGTGACGACACATTTCTGACGCCATTGTGGAAATTTGCGGCGGAATCGCAGGCGTCTCTCAGCTTGTTTTCAATTGTCGTTTATCGTTGAGTGACAATCTCGATGAACGCGCTGACGTGAATCTTTGTTGTCGGAAGGTCTGGCAGGAAATGCCGCGCGACATGCGCGCGTGCAGAGTAGAAGTGGCGGTTTTGCAGCCTGCGCGTCGCTCGGCGGTGTGCCGTTCCACTTCGACGCCGCGGTCAAGTGCGGCACCTGGCGGGGGAACCGTAGGGGGGATGTGCCAAACGTAACCTTTTGCGGCACCGTTGCCACAAACCAGGATGACCCGCGCCGGCGTTGGCTGCGGGGGCAGCCGACCAGCGCCTGGATTGGTGAAATATTTGTTTGGCGCACATTGCAGGAGCGCGGTCGCAGCTGCAAGCTCGCGGTAGATCAGCGCGCTGCGGGGTGGCGGGGTTCGCGCAGATGTCGCGTCGGGGAAATTTATTCCAGTCATGGGCAATAGCCCCGACGTCTTCGCATTCTCTCACGGAGTTAAATGCAAGGGCCGCCATGAACACGCGCAGCTATGCAGCGCGGAACTTGCCGCGGCGCAGCAATGCACGCGCGCTCTACAATCTCTTTTCGTCGGTGCTGTTCGCATTGCTATGCAGCTATTGGAAGCGCCTGTCGCCCCCTTGAGCAACTGGGGACGCGCCCTATAGATGGCTGGCTTCGATCTGGATGCTGAAGACAGTGCCTTCGCGCCGATTTGTTCCACCGTTCGACCGCCGTCGGGGCCGTGTTTTTTGCCCGGCGCGCGTGGGCGACGTCCGGGCAATTTCGCCAGGCCATGCGCGGAATCCACAATCGTGCCGACGGTTTAATGTTGATCCCATACGCTGGGAGTGCGAAAGTTGTCAGAGAAGAACTACGCGTCGATCTATGCAGGAGACCTGCGAACTCCTGGTAAACGCAGGTTTGCAGTGCCATTCGAGCTGTTTGCTAATCCGCTTCAATAGCCGGCGAGGGCGCCCTTACAGGGCTCAGACATCAAATGCTGAGCGTGGGTCTCCATGGGCCGGCGGAGCGTGCAATTCTTGTGTGGGGACACGCTGAAGTGAATGAGCCTTCTTTTGTTGCCTCTGCTTCTGTCTTCTGTGCTCTGTGCCTGAATTGTTTGCGTGCGTCCACGTTGAATTTCGCATTGTGTGCGTGGGTGCATGTCATTTCCAGTCAGCTACTTGCTAACTTCGCGTCTCGACCATGACACTTGGCCGAGTCGGGTGCGGCTTGCCGTGGCCGCTACTCATGTCGCGCGCGAGCCTCGTAGCCTCAAAGCTGCTAGGAGTTGCAATCGTGTCCCCCCCAGGCTACGTGCGCAGTGCAACGCAGTTTCGCAAACTGTAGCTTGACGCTCGCCGCCGCTGCCCCTCCCCCCTCGATTCTGCGCGTGGTATCGAGGGTTGGGTGACATGCGGGCTAGCATAGCGGCCGTCCGCGCCGCCGTTTGTTGTTCAAGCGGCTGGCGCTCTATTTGCCCATAGTTGCCCAGATCGCAAGGGCAGCTGTCGATCCGCTATTGCCTTTGAAAAGAATCCCACTCTTGGAGGATGCCTTCCACATCTGTCCTTCGCCACCGTTGCTACATCTCACGTTTGCTTGTATCTGTACATGCGCGCCTGAATACGCAAAGGTTAAAGGTGTGATGAGATATCTCCGCCGTGACGCAGGCAGAGGGCCGGCGAACGATACCGCCCTTAACGCATGTCTTCCCCCCCCCCGCCCTCTAGGATTATCACCCACGTGGAACTGCTCGACTTCCGAACGCCCTTAACTTCTTTCCTGCCTCCATTCTTCGCTCCGCCTGCTGCTTTTCCCGCGTGTGTCGTCCCTTCTTCGTGCCTCGCCCTTCTCCTCCCTGCCCACTACCCTTCCTTCTGTTCTACCTCCTGTTCTCCTCCTTCCTCACTCTTGCCTTCTTTCCTTTTTTTCCGTCCTCCCTTCCCTTCCTTTTTTCTCCTCATCCTCTTCCCCCGCCTCTTCCGCGTCGGTTTTCTCCTCGCACTCGCATTCGCACAGTAATGACAGGAGTTGAACAGCTCATGCCAACATTCAAAAAACGTTGGCAAACGTTTATTCGAAGCACAAGACGAGGAAGAAACGATCCAATATAGCCAGCAGACAGCCTGTCCCGCGCCCAGGGTGTCTTTTCCCCGCCACGCAACTGCCAACACCCGATCTTCGAATGTGGAGCGTGCGATCGCGTTTCGCGCTGTCTGCCACACCCCCCGAGGGTCGGAGTGCGGAAAGGGGGGCCAGGTCGGCATTGACCTCATCCAAATCTGACGGTCAAAATGAAGCAGGCGCGGACTCCGTGGACAGGGAAATCTGGGGCAGTCTCCTCTTTTTCCTCCTCCTCCTCCTCCTCCTCCTCCTCCTCCTCCTCCTCCTCTTCCCTTCCCTCATCCCTCCCTCCCTCCCTCCTTCCCTCCCTCACCCCTTCCTCCCCCTCTCCCCCCTCCTTCCCTCCTCCCGCCTCCGCCCCCCGCGTCCCTCCTCCCCCCTCCCCTCTTCCCTGCCGCCACCTCTCCCCCCTTCCCTCCTCCGAAATCGACGACGGCGACGTTTCGCGCTTCCGGCCCCCCCAGCCGCTGCTCTTCTCCCCGGGCCAGTGCAATTCCGCAACGGCGCCGGCGTGCCGGCCTCGGAACGCTCCCGCGCGCAGCCACGCGCCGACGTGTGCAGTCAGTCAGTCGTCGTCGTCGTCGTCGTCGTCGTCGTCGTCGTCGTCGTCGTCGTCGTTGTTGTCGATCGACGATCGAGGTTCGATCCAGGATCGCGGATAAGGTTTGAGGCGTACCCGGCCGTTGCGAGGACGGCGCCAAAGAGGGCCGAACAAAAAGGTAGAACACATTCAATTCTTCATTGATGTTTTCGTTGCCGCCGTCGCCGTCGCCGTCGCCCTTGCCGCTGTCGCAGTCGCCGTCACGGCCGCCGCCGTCGCCGACGCCGCCGCCGTCGCCGTCGCCGTCGCCGTCGGCGTCGCAATGGCCATTGCCGTCGCCGCCGCCGTCGCCGTCGTCGTCGCCGCCGTCGTCGTCGTCGTCGTCGTCGTCGTCGTCGCCGTCGTCGTTGTCGTCGTCGCCGCCGTCGTCGTCGTAGCCGCCGTCGTCGTCGTCGTCGTCGTCGTCATCGTCGTCGTTGTCGTCGTCGTTGTCGTCGTCGTCTGCGTCGTCTGCGCCGTCGTCGTCGTCGTCGTCGTCGTCGTCGTCGTCGTCGTCGTCGTCGTCGTCGTCTGCGTCGTCCGTATCGCCTGTGGCGTTCCGCCGAGGCACCTGCTGGGCGCGGAGCAGCCCGTTGACGTCCGCCGGCTCGCGCTGCCGCCGTCGCCCATCGGCGGGCCAGGGCCGCCGAAAGCCGACCCCTTCCCGGGAGAGGAGGACGGACGAGGGGAGGGGCAAGAGGGAGGAGGAGGTGAAGGTCGAGGGACGAGGGACGAGGGATGGTGCTGAGGAATATGTTGCTGATGATGCTGATGATGCTGACGATGCTGACGATGCTGCTGCTGATGATGCTGCTACTGATGTGATGATGCTGATGATGCTGTTGATGACGATGACGATGATGATGATGATGATGATGATGATGATGATGATGATGATGATGATGATGATGATGATGATGATGATGATGCCGATGCTGCTGATGTTTCTGCTGCTGCTGATGATGGTGATGATCTTGGTGGTGATGGTGGTGATGGTGGTGGTGGTGGTGATGATGATCATCATCATGACGCTGATGATGATGATGATGATGATGATGATGATGATGATGATGACGATGATTCATCTGACTATGAAGGGGACGGTACTGATGAGTCTGACATTTATAGTAATGATGGTGATGGTGGTGATGATGGTAATGATGATGATGATGAGGAGGAGGAGGAGAAGTGGAAGGAGGATGAGTATGAGGAAGGAAGAGTAAGAAGATGAGGAGGAGAAGGAGCAGATACGATGGAGGATTCAGGAGGCAGAGGAGGAGGCACGAGGTATGAGGAGGATAATGACGAGGGCGGATGGAGGAGGAGGAGGAGGAGGAGGAGGAGGACCAGTGGAAACCCAAGGCTCATTAACGATGTTGGAGTAAACCCTCCCTTCAAGCTCCCTCTTCATAGGCCCCTATGAGGGTTCATTTCTACTGAGGGAACTGCCTTGCCAGGAGGCAACCGTTTGAAGACCCTGAAGCGTGCCAAACAACCATCCCCGGGACTGACGCCACGAATCCTCATGATTGTTGCGCCTCGACGATCCTGAATCGTGCTACAGCACCAGTCCTGGGACATCAAGACCGCGAATCAACGTAACAGTTGCGCCTTCACAATCCTGAGTCCTTCCAACGCACCATTCTTGGCACGTTGACCGTGGGAATTCAAGAAAGTCTGGCAAATGTTTAGAACGACTGTGCGGAGGGGGTGGTAAGGCGAGAGCCACATTGTGAAATGGAACCACCCTCAATCCGTGGAAACTCTTGCATTTTTGTGCAGCGAATTTGCGCGGCGCTATAGCCAGAGCCGCCTTTGTAAAGTCGATTTCCCCTCAATCCGTCACATGTTTTTGCACATAGTGAAACATAGTGTTCGCGGCGCTAAGGCGAGAGCCACTTTTTGTAAGCGATCCGCCTTCTATTTTGTGAAGCTGAGAGCCATCAGTGCTGAGGACGTCTCAGGCGAAAAGCCTCTCTCGCCCTTTCGACCGGCCTCGGGATGCGATAGGGAGGAGCTATTCATGAGAAAAAGAAACAGAGGAGGAGGGAGGAGGAGGAGGAGGGACAAGGGAGTAGCGGGATGGGGATGATCAGGAGGGGAGGAGGAGGGGATTTTTGGATATTATCGTGCCCTCTTTGGGCCTCTGGGGGCCTCTGGACCACCAGTGGCCAATATGTCTAGACCAACCCGTCAAATGGTGGCGCATCATGGAGCAGGCGAGCTAGATAGCGCAGCCTTGCCACGGTGTGCATGGTGCTAAGGAGGAGCATGTGTACCCTGTGGGATGACTTTACGGGGGGAGACTTGAGGGAGATCATTGTTCGACACTGGGAGCTCCAAGGCCGCGCGATAGACCTGAGTATGACCCTCCCTTTCTCCCCCCCCTTTTCCTCCTCCCCTTCCCTCCCTTCTCCGTTCTTTCCTGCTTTCTCACGTATTGACGGGTTCACAATATCGTAAGTATTATGTTTCGTTGCGAGTCACGCGCGCTCGGTCAATGCCACCTTAAGCTCCATAGGGTTCGTGACCCCTCATGTTCCCGCTTTTTTTGATTAAGACTGAATTGTGCACCGCTGCTTCTGCTGTCAAAGCCCAAGTTTCGATTCTAGGGTTTTGTTCAGCACGCTGTGAGTCTGTGTTTGGTCCAGTTGCATCGTGTCCAACGACCGCACACGGGGTGCTCTGCACAGCTGGATCGATGCACCTCCGGCGGCGTACGCTGGTGGAGCAATCGAGGCACAGATTTTAATATGATTTCTCTACGTTTCACTCTGACGTTGGGTCGGTTGCTGGATGGTTGCGCTCTCTCCTGCTCGACTCTCCAGAAAAATGAAATAACCCCAGAGGACCGTACGGGGTACGGGCGAGCAGCTGGGCCAGAGCCTCCCATGTTACCTGGACACAGGGCAGGACAGGGCTGCCGATAACATTGCAGCACCAGAGCTGCATGCTCGCAGAGTGCTTGACGGCGGGCTGTATCTCAGGGGTAGGGGGTTCGTGCCCCTTGCAAGGAGCTGGGTCGCGCACGCACGCGCGCACCTCAGCCGCCAGGGGTCCACTGGACACTGCGTATGCGCCAGGTCCTGTGGACGTGGGCCAGTTCAACTGATGCCCCCACCTATGGTCAGGCGATCGCAAACATGGATCAAGGGGGCGTTGATTAGCGACGGGTCCCATTTCCCGACGAGACATCGCGGATTTCCGCCGCCGAGCGAGGCGGCACCGGCTGCATTTTGGGTCGTGCACCTCTCTAGATCCATGGATTTGGCGACCGCGCGCCAAATGCATGGATCATTACTCCATTTTGTCGCCCCCCCGCTATTGGAAGGGGTGGTGCTCATGAGACCTTTTGTATAAGCATTTATATGAACCTTGGCCTTTTTCCAGCCAAGAGTGGATGACACCTTTGTCTCGAATTCGTTGGGTAGGAATCCGTACATGCACGCTGCTTCCTACACGACGTCGCACGCGAATGTGATGTGGTCGATCAGAAGAGCAACGCTGAGGCTAACATGAAGCAAGGTGGGGCCATCATCACATGCAATGTCATGAAGTGGGCGCTCCAAACCCGATTCTGTGCTCACGATTCGTCCACCTCGATCCGTCCACCTCTCGGGGAGTGAGGCGTGCCATGGGAAAAAAAGGTCGGTACAGATAAGGGCGAGTATGCCTCGAAACACCCATCCTTTTGAACAACTCGTTGCAAGTGTTGTGCCAGGGCTTGTGCCTGTACGAGGAAAAACCGCTTTGGATGCCCCAGGATGCCCTAGAAGGACCCCATGTGCGATTCTTCTAGGAACCCAGCTGCGTGCTCAGTTCAGTGGTTTTGTATCAAGAGCTATCTGGAGATTACCCTCCCCACCTGGTAAGATGATAGCGTCGCCTTTACTCGTCTTGTAGCAGCACTGCCACTATGCAAGCACACGGTACCGCATGAGGCCCTGAGGATTCTGGAGACCTCATAGAAGGTTCGGACGGTGTGGACGTCAACGTCACACCCTGGTGCGGGCAGCCTCCCCCCATTCGGGCAGCAATCATGGAATCATACATGGCGTCCCACGCTAGGGATCGTAAGTCGGACCCGTGGGATGTTGCGATAGTGTTAGCGGACAGGATATTTGTCTGCGTTTCTTTGGCCCTGGTGTAGCCAGATCCTTTCCAAAAGTATGCCACATCCCCTGCTTTGAACGCAAGCGGCTCTCTGCCCTCCAGGACCACCGTATTCAAGAGGCAAGCGCCTTTCCGCCGACCCCCAAGCAGAGCAGTGCTCGGATCTCGTGGGCGGCCTCTTGGGGGCCGTTTTAGGGTGTCTTGGGGTCTCCTTTCGGCCCTTCGGAGGCTTCTTTTGGCGCCTTGGAGACCTCTCGGGCCATCCTGGGGCTATCTTTGTCCTTTGTTTCGGACCTCATCCGCCGTCTTGGGGCTCTGGAGAGACTCCGGAGGCCCCAGGAATGTGTTGAGGAGCTCGGCCCCCCCCTCGCCCCCCCCCCCACCCCCCCAGAGACCACCTCACACAACACTGCTGGACCTCCTCTCCCCCCCCCCCCCCCTCCCCTCCCCCTCCCCCTCCCCTCCCCTCCCTCCCTCTCCCTTCGCTGGCCGCGCGCCCCCCTCCGCCGCCCGTGGCGCCCCGCCGCCTGGCTGCCCCGCCGGCCAGGCCGCGACATCGAGTCGGGGGAGACGGGGGTGACGAGGGACCGCCGGCGGGCTGCCGGCGCGAGGAGGAGGGGGCCAGGAGGAGGGGGACGAGGAGGAGGGGGGGGAAGAGGAGGGGGAGGAGGGGGGGGGAGGAGGAGGAGAGGAGGAGGAGGAGGAGGAGGAGGAGGAGGAGGAGGAGGAGGAGGAGGAGGAGGAGGAGGGGGATGAGGAGGAGGAGGGGCAAGGAGGAGGGGGATGAGGAGGAGGAGGGGGGGGGAAGAGGAGGGGGAGGAGGGGGGGGGAGGAGGAGGAGGAGGAGGAGTGTCCACCTCTCCCCCTCTCCCTCCGCTCTCCCCGTGGAGGGGAACTGTGGGGCCATTTTGGGGTCTTTCTTTCTCTCTCTCTCTCTTGTCGTCTTCCTGTCTCTTTCCTTGGGAAGCATGTCTACTATCTTTCGAGATGTTCTAGGTCTGGCGTTTGCTACATTCCAAGCGGACACTCATGATGATCCAGCTGGCAAGTTTCAATCGCCTTCAACCGCACTGCAGCCCAATATATTGCCTCTGCATCTGGGACGTGCTCCATTCTTATTGGCATCTCGTTGGGGCCCTACTCGCATCCACGTGGACTCCTCTAGACCAGTGCCTGCCTCGTTTCTATTGGAACCCCTTAATTACAATCTTACTGACATCCCCTGGATCTTATTCGGAACAGGTTGATTTCAAAGTGCGATTCTATGTTACTGGGATCCACTCCGAGTGGTGTCCTACAGGATCCCACATGGATGGACCAGTTTGGCGTTGTTCTCTTCTGTCAGACGGAAACGAGACGATGGTGCAGCAACGTTAAGCGTGTTTGCCAAGTGCAAAACAGATGTGCCTTTGCGAAACAAACTCGGCTACGACGGCAGATGGTACTTTGTCGTGGCATTGCACACACGTCTTTCCCCAAAACCGTGCCTGCAGTAACGGCCCGTTCTTGCTGGTCTGGGTAGCCGCATTGTTCTGTCCGTGTTGCCTTCTGGCAGACGACTGGTAGTCGCACGTAGGTGCCTCGTGAGCACTCCTGCGTGCAGTGAATGCAGGCAGAGGTTCCTTGGGCGCCCGCGTGCGCGTGCTTCGCGGGCGACCGCATAGACTGCACGCGATAGGTTGCACCACATGAGGCGTTCCAAAAAGGACCTTTCCTTCGAGGGTCGACGGAGTTGTCATCCCTTCCTCGGCGGAAGGCGGAGGAAGGGCGGCGGAAGCTCGGCGGACGCACAGCAAGGCCGCCTCCGCCGGCGGAGAAGCCGGCGGAAGCTCGGCAGAAGCCGGCGTGAGTAAAAGATGCGCCCCCGAGAGATAGACACGTTTTCGGGTTCAGGGTTTCCGGAATCGACTATATAGCTTACACCACATAGCTTATGCAGGATAGCTGGCATCATGCACTTGTAGAAAGCATTATATGGGCCACGCAGCTTGAACATATCCTGGGACACAGCGTTGGCACCACGTAGATTCGACCACACATATTCAACCACATAGGCTGCACCACACCAACTGCACCACACTACTTGCACCACATAGTCTTGCGCCGCGTAGCCAACATATCCAGATTACGGTTACTCATTATTTGAGGTCCACTGTTGCTCACATCTCATATCATAATGTCTAGGCCGCGACCCAGAATTAGAACATACGGCGTTCGAACATTGTCATCATGGTCCTCAGCATCGTAGCCATCATCATCACCATCACCATCACTACCGCTATCTTCATCTTCATCCTCACCGTCCTCGCGCCCACCGTTGTCTTCTTTGCCGTCGTCACCATCATTATCGTCGTCATTGTCGTCGCCGCCGCCGTCGTCATCGTATCCATCATCGTTGTCATCGTCATCATCATCATCATCATCATCATCATCATCATCATCATCATCATCATCATCATCTCCACAATCACCACTATCATTACCACCACTACCGTCATCATCATCGTCGTCGTCGTCATCAACATAATCATAATCAGCAGCATCATCATCACCATCAGTATCATCCGCATTTTCATCACCATCACCATCAATATCAACATCAAGACCAACACCAACGTCAACGTCAACATCGTCATTCTCGTCGTCATCACCATCATCAGCATCATCAGCGTCACCAGCGTCATCATCATCATCATCATCATCATCATCATCATCATCATCATCATCATCATCATCATCATCATCATCATCATCGTCATCATCGTCATCATCATCATCATCATCATCATCATCATCATCATTGATAATCTAGATGTGTTTAGCTGCCCAGTTTAGAGGGAACGGGGAGGCATCGGAAGCGACAGGCTTCTGCTGTAGTCACGTGGGTTCAAGCCTCCGGAATGGACTTCGGGGGCTGGTTGGGCGCCGCGAACCTCCTTTCGACTGGGGCCTCACACTACGCCCGCACCTTCGACCTCCCGTCGCTCGATTGCCGCTGCCATTGCGAGGTTGGCGGCGCCCCCGCGGGCGAGGCGGCCCGCTGCGTGGGCGACGCGCCAGGCCTAGAGCTGGCCCCGGACCGCTGCCAGGGCGCCCTCAGCGCCTCCCAGGCGCCGGCGTCGCCGGCCTCTAAGAGCGCGGTGGACACCCCTCCTCTGTGCGCGCTGCTGACGCCGCCCGCGTGGGTCGGCCTCGCGGCGCTCCTGCTGCTCGTGGGCCTTGCGCTCGGGGTCGCTACCTGCGGCTGCTGCGAGCCGCGAGCGCGGACGCGCTCGCCGGCGGGAACCCACCTCCGCCCAGGCGCCTGCACGGGGCCGGCTTCGCCGCTGGCTTGGCGGGCGGCCCTAGCTTCACGTGATGGCGCACGCGGCGGCTGCGGCCGCGCGTGCCCCACGGGCGCTGGACGTGCTCAACCCCCAGGTGCTGATCGACTACTTCGATGACCCCAATGGCTTCTTCTGGCACCATCGTCTCCTCTTGCAGACCGACGGCAAAGGGCTGTGGACCGTGGTCGCTCCCACGGGCTCGGTGCAGGTGCTGGACCTCTCGCAGCACCGGGCGCTTCCTCTCGATCCGAACGAGCTCATCCCCGCGCCGTACTGCGACGAGTGCTTCATCTTCGTCCCGATCTCGGCCGCGGAGCTCGCCGAATTTGTGAGGCGCGGCAAGATGCTGGTGGCGGTGCACGGGATCACAGCCGCTGCCACGACGACGCCCGACACCGTCTGGAGGGTGGCGGACCCCGCGCACGAGGCCTTCGCCTCGGCGGTGCCTGAGGCCGCGATCGCCGACCCCGCCTGCTTCGTGGCGCGCGACGGCAGCGGTCTCGCTCTGGTGGATCGACCTTGGGTGCGCGCCGCGGCGGTCGAGGTCGGTCGCGAGGAGGCTTGGCGCCTTGGCGCCTGGAGAAGGTCACCGCCTTCGGCCGCGACCCCGCGTGACCGGGCTTCGGGGTGATCGACGGGGCTTGCCTTTCATGTCGGAGGGGGACGCCACCGCGTGCTTCGAGAACTCGAAGATCGATCACTTCCCGTTCTCTGTGCCCCGCGTGGCGGTCGAGTTCTTGCGGAGCCTCCGCGCCCATGGCCAGTCTCTCACAACCCACCGCCGCGAGTGGGCGCGGAAGTCGGGCGTCAACGTGCACGGCGCCGCCGCCCGCGAGCGTTTCTTACTGTCCGAGGTTCTCCGTTGGCAGGTGCAGTTCGACCATCTGGGCGTCTCGATGCTGGCCAGCGCCGAGCTCTTGTTCCGCCGCCTCGTCCAGATAGAGGCCGCGGTGCTCCGCGACGCCAAGGTGCCCGACTTTGCGGGCCTTGGCGTCTTGATGAGCGCGTCCACCGACGAGAGCGGCGCGGCCGCGACGGCGGTCTTCTCGCAGTGGGTTGCGGACCGTCAGAAGGATCAGGCGACGGTCGCGAAGCAGGGCCGCCTGCTTCGGGAGGGGGGGCGCCCGCCGCGAGCTGATTGGCCTGGCCGCCCAGTCCGCTCCAGCGTCCCCCGTCCTCGCGACCCGAATTCGCATCGCGTACGTCCTCTTCGGCAGGCTGGGCCCGTCACGTCCTCGCGCGCTGACATCTTCCCGCTCCCCTGCCCCGGTCTTGACCGTCATGGCCGTCGCCAGCATCGAGCAGAGCTTCGCGCTGCCTCGTGCCGCAGGTCACAGCGTGCTGGCGTGGCGACGTCGATCGTGGCGCTGAACTCTCTGGCATCTTCTTTCGCCCAGTCGCCTTTGGCTATTGTCGACCCCCCTCGCGCGTCCCCAGCGCGCCGCGGGCTTCGTGATCGCCCGAGTCGGGAAGGGGGGTTTCGCGGCGGGGTACAGCGCCTGGCGCCTCCCCGAAGGAAGCCTAGTTTGATCTTCTCAAGGCCAACGACATGTGCGATGCAGAGCCGCGGGGGGGCCTCGAGGTCTTCGACGCCGACCGCTTGGAGATCTTGAAGGGCCCGACCAATCCCAAGTCTCTGGAGTCGGCGCTGACGGGCTTCGCCTTCGCGCAGTACCTAGAGCCCGAGCGGCGCCTGGAGCGCGCCGCCGCGGAGGTGGGGGCGCGCGTCCAGGGCGGCCTGACCACCCCCGTGAAGCCGTGCTGGGGCCCGAAGCTCCGCGCCTCGCGCTCGGCGGCCCTCTTCGCGCTGCTGAAGGACCTGCTGGCGCGCGGGCTGGGCGGGCTGCGGGCCTCCATCCGCGCCCGCGTCGCGCTGTTCTTCCGCGCCAAGAAGGGCGGCTCGCAGCGCGTGGTCGTCGACGCCCGCGAGGCCAGCCGGCTCATGCAGGGCCCCCCCCGCGCGCAGCTCGGGGGCCCAGGTGCCCGCCGCGACCTCGACCTCAGCGACGCCGCTTCCGAGGTTGCCGGTTGCGACCGGCGGGCCGCGGACGTCCGCGTCGCCGGCCTGGGCCTGTGCCGGGGCTTCTACCTGCGCCGCGCCAAGCGGCTCGGTCGGTGGTTCGGCGCGGGGTTTGGCTTCGCAGCCCGCGAGTGGAGCGTCGCCACCTGCTGTGACGAGGGCGCCGAGAAGGAGCTCTCCGTCGACGGCGACACCGTCTGGCACTTTGTCATGGAGGTGCTCAGCACCGGCTTCAGTTG